AAAATTTCTTTTTTTTCCATTTGTTTCAGTGTTTTTCTATTGGACATTTTTTGGTTGATGCGGAAAACCTACTATGAAATAAAAGATGATAGACAATTTCCTAATCAATAACTTTGAAGAAAGTAATACACTTAAGGCTTCTAAAAATATATCAACAAAATTTGCTCTGATGAACAAACTAAAACGCAAAAAAAACAAAAGACAGATACCGGATGTAAATAACCATTAATTACAAGAGAAAGATCTTTCATCTAAACTATCAGAATAACATATTATACATGAAATTAAAATTGTCTTCTAAGTGATTGAGTTGATCAAATAAAAAATAGAAGAAACAGCGCACAATATCAGAACATACAAAATGATTCTTTTTTTTTTGCTTCACAGATATATGATAATTATTTATGAACTTTAAGAATTAGTCTATATATATTTTTAACATTCAACTATAGACTTTTTGTATTCTTATTTATCCAGGTCAAACAATCAAACAGTAAAATCTTACACGATTGAACCTCTAGCCTTATATGATGAGATGAAACTCGTAGTCTCAAAAATCCTAGACTAAATCGTACTATAAGATTTTCCACAATGTTATAGTGATATATTAGAAGGCAGAAAAATCTTTCAAGAATTTTATAATACGATCTACCATAAGATTCCTGAGATTATGATTATTTTGTATGTTTTTTTCTGATCTTACAAGATCAGAGGCACCATCTTGAAAGATTTTACCATCTGATTGTTTGACCTGGGAAGCTATAATTCAGTAAAAATAATATCTAAACATTTATCTAACATCTTCAAGTCAAAATCTTTAATGACAATGCTAATCATAATATTATCAAGTATCTTGTTCAATGATCACAGAAAATAAATAGATTTCGGGTAAGATCTGTTTATAGACAAGCAACAGGCATTATCTTACGAGGAAACCTCTACAGGCGTTATATCGTTTTTTTGCCAGAGACGATGTTTATTTTATGAGTTCTAGTGTGTAATAGAAATGTCTAGAATGGTTTAGTTTTGCGCACCGCAATTCTTAAGATATCGACATTGAATTAGGCTTTTCAAACAAAAGACTATGGTCCACTCGGGTCACATAAAAGTTGGTTTTCAACTTCAAACTTTCCATGAACAAAGTTATCAGTGAGATATAGTTCATTGGACAAGTTGTTACTTTTCAGGTATCTTCTATCCAGAGATATGGAACGTTCGAAATTCTCATGTGCAAAAGAAACTTTTGTTCATATATTTACATCTTCAGAAAAGAAATACTAATTACACAATTAAGTAATCTCATTAAGGACTATTGTTTGTGCAAAGTTTGAAGTCGAAACTCGAAAGTCAATTTTTCACGTGAACCGAGGACACTACAATATTTGTTAAAAAAATCAACTAAAATTTCAATATGTCAAGAACGAAGATGAAGAGAACCAAACTATTCTGGACGTTGCTATTACTCATTAGACCTAATCAAAAAACCATCGTCTTGGTTAAAAGGCGATTTGACACCTGAAGAGATTCCCTCGTTAGTTGATACGTACATAAGTTACTTTATTTTTTTGAAATAAATGCATAAATAGAAACAATCAACTTTGATGTAACTTCAATTGATTAGAGTATTGTATCAAATGATGAACTAATCCAAAGATCATAATCAGGAGTAAGCATTTCGATATTGTTCAAGTTTGAAGCATTACTACTATTTTAATTACAAAGAAAAAAATTCTCTCTTTTTTATTCTTTTTTTCGTCGCAATTTATTCAATAACAATTATGTTGACATTTACAGTCAGGCATCTTCTCGCTTCATCGGAATCCTCTTAATTAGCGCGTGTCATTAGCAAAGTTTTACTAAAGAAATCTTGCTTTAGAGAGAAAGAAATACACTGAACAACAATGACACTATTTGACATTTTAAAAACAAACGTTTCCATCAGCAGAAATGCCAGAAAAATGCGTTCATTTAGCGGGTGTGAATTTTGGGCTTCTGTGCTCCCATACCTGAATTTAGACAACTACCATCACCAACTTTATGCAAATATTGCCATCACCAATCAAAACTTACGTGTATTGATTGAGGAATTAAACAAAGATTTTGTTTTCAACATGACTACGTTATGAACAAGCCTTTACTAAACAAAAAATTAATTTTTCCAAAATCAACGAATTCTTGATTTAATGAAACAACATGAAAAAAGTTCTTTGTCATTAGATAAATATTTTAATAAGATCTGTATAATATTATAATAATGTTCTGTGGTTACAATCTTATTAACTATTGAATTTCGTTCTCATTTCTATTATGAAAATAATTTGTTCTAATACAAAAGTGCCGCATATTAATTAGAATCCACTACTAACGTGCGATGCAAAAGTAATTGCGGAAATCTCACCCATGGTTCTCTGCTCAGCAACATCATTGAGAGTACATCATTTTTTCTACTTGAAAGGGCAAAGGCTGAACTTCAAAAAAAACAAAAACGTTCAATATATAGCATTGCCAATATAGCACTTGCAACTTCTATCCTTTTCAAATGTCTCTCTCGCATCGAATCTCCTTTTTTCCTTTATAAAAGATTATGTTCGAGGTTGTACATTTATAGAAACTCGAAGGATTCTTTATCACTGTTGCAAATTAAGTATGATAAATTACGTTTTGATCTACTTTGACATCGAAGCTTTATAAATTTTTCATCAACTTCAAAAAAATAGGTCATCTAAGCAATAACTTACATATACTGTAGGAATTGTCCTCCTTTTTCTAAAACAACATATAGTTTTATACAAATTCGAATTACTGGTAACCTTTATCATCATGTTTAAGCCCTGAATAACGAATATTTATTCAATGTCCTATTTTTTCCATGTAAAATAGTGCTTTCTATTAAAAATAGGACGTAAAATGCGCATTGTTTGTTGTTAACGGATTGCTGAGACACTTTTTAGAGTATGATAGTTGATAAAGGTTTTTAAGGATTACTTCCTCATTCATTTGGTATTCAAGAAAAAGTTTTTTTCCAAACTCTAGAAAAAATATAAGAAAAAAAGTATGTTACAAGAGCTCTTTTAACGATGTTTGGTCTCTAACGTTTTTCTTACTCGAAGTTTATCGCAAAAATATTCTCTATGCTTTTTGAAGTTCTGGCATTGCTCTTTCAACTGGAAAAGAATAAACTTTCTACGATGATTCTAAGTAGAGATTTATGAGTTGAGGCTTCGGTAGTTACTTTTGCGTCGTAGGTTATCTTTTTGTGTTCGTTAAGTATGTGTCAATCTATTACTAGCAGAAAAAGGTGAACATTCATCAAAATGATTTTGAATTGGATTATATTGTCTAAAAACAAAATATCAATTCTAATTGTGTGTCGATGATATTACTAATTCATGCACGTATCATATAAATTACTTGTAATAAAATTTCTTCAATTACATGAATTTTTTCCCTCTATTTATTTTCTTTTAAAAAATTTCCTTCGAGTAGAAGAAAGTAATTCGATTGGGTAGAAAAGGAAATATTTCATGGTTATCATTGTGTTGCACCTCAAGGTCTCCTTCTTTCCTTCGTCTATTTCTGTGCTTTTCTTTTTCTTCTCATCAATGATTTATTCATATTCATATAATATATCAAAACAAGTTATTATTTTTAAATAGAGTAACAACAAATAACATTCAACGATACAATTAACAAATAAATGGACAAAGTTGTCAATAAAACAATCAATGCTATAGCACGATTCGGCGAACGTCTTGAACGACGTCTTTCGAACGACGCAAGTGATGATTCATATTTGCAGTTATCAGGATCAGATTCTATGTTTCCAAGTGCTAAATCGGCCTTTTATCGTCCATTAGATGGTACAAGTCATAAACGTAACATATACTCATCACAACGACGAGATTTAAGTTATGGTGGTGCAAGAAACTATTCTTCAGATAATTTAGCTGCTAGTCATGGATATGGAAGTTTTAGTAATTATCGACAAAGTCCAATGAGTGATTCATATAGCGATGATCTAGACAGATCACCTTTTGGATCTAGTGCAGGTGCTCTACCAAATTATGGTCCGTATTCAGGAGGATATCCTAATCGATCATCCAATGCGCCATATGGTTTCTATCCTGGCAATGTAGCCTATGCTCCTAATTATTATATTGCCGAACGACGCCAAGTCGAATTAGTTCCTGCCCCACCACCACGAGTTATTCGAGAACCAGTTCCGTTTCCTGTTCCAGTCGATCGTCCAGTACCTCAACCTTATCCAGTCGAAGTGCTAAGACCCGTTCCAGTTGATCGACCAGTTCCAGTTCCGGTCCCAGCACCAGTACCAGTCGATCGATTTGTGCCTGTTCCTGTACCAGTTCCTTCACCGCCGGTTTGTGTTCCAGTTCCTGTTCCAAATCCCGTTCCATGTTATGTACCTGTCGGTGTTCCTGTTCCATCACCTCGAGCAAGTCCTGTCATGTTTGAACAATCAGTTACTCATACTCAACGTTGGATTACTGGTTCGCCGGTCATGATGAATCAACAACAATATTATGTTGGTACACCAGCTATGGGTATGAATCCGTATGTATTCTATGGTACTGGTCAATTCATTCGTTAATCACATTTTCATTTTCTTTATAAAATATTGTAAGCTATGATTACTTTTTGGAAAAAAAATAAAAGGACAGTTTTAGATAGTTACTAAGTCTCCATGAAATCTATTGATATATAGACAAAAACGCTCATAGAACTCAAATATTAACTTATTTTGAAAATCAATATTATATATATTTGATTCATATGTTGAACTGCTAGAATATCTGATTAGATAAAAGTATATAACTTTATCTAGAAGTTTACGCAAAAGCGAAAAACAAAATCTTGCCAATTTTTTTCTAGTTGCAATTTTATTCAAAACTTTCTTTTTCAGTTATATTTTGAACAAAAATGCACAAATGATGGAACGAAAACAATTTTTTTTCTTCTTTTATTGTTAATCATATGATGAATTATGTGCTTTTGCCTTTTGGTTTGATTTCTTTAACATTAAGACCAGGTGGCAATGATTGTTTGAGTTTTTCAGCTTTTTCTTTATCATCCACAATTACTAAAAATACAAAGAACAAAATAAAAACATGATGAATTAAAATTTGAAATGGTCTATCGACATACATGTGTACAAATAACGACTGCATCGAACTTTAAATTTGGTATTTCCTTGACGTGTACCATGTTCAGGATTACGTTTGATAATCACTGATTTAGCATCTTTGCGTCGAGCAATAAGTAAGAAATCTTTGATGTCTTTGATTTCTTTTGGCATTGTGTTGATAAAAATATGAGATGAACAAAGATCTAAAATAGATGAAAAAATCTGTTGAGAAGTTTTCATATAAGAAAAGTGGCAAAATAAATAAAAGAAATGGATACGATATCCGTATTTAACCCAATAAAATAATGTTCAAATCTTATGATTAATATTAATAAATTAAATATAGACTTGCATATATATTCAAAAAATGGAATTTATTTTGAGATTATTTTATCAAAATAAAATTTAAAAGAATCAAAGAAAAAGATGTCACTAGTTGTATTAAAGTCACAATAGTTAGACAATACAATTGGTATTTAGAATCGATCAATGAATCATTCAATGAAGTTAACATTTTGTGAAACCGAATTAGAAAAACTAGAGATTATTGGATCTCTTGATAGAATACCGTTAGAAATGTAGTCAGCGTCGGTCATTTAATTTATGTTTGAAACAAAATACAAAGTTTTTTTTATTCTTTTTAATGTTGATTGAAATAGAATATACAACATATGAACTATGAATATATAGTAAATTAATCTGTAAAGGTTTTCCAAATTCTTCAAAATTCAATGCTGATATTTGATGTCTTTCTATTCGGTCTTTTTCTAATTCCTCAAGCCGAATAATTCACAAGTAATGTTCATCGAGACTCGATTCATTTGATCCTAGACCAACATGATAGAGATATGCATATAGGTGCATCTAGGTATCAACGTGTATTAAGCAAGCTAGAAGATAAATGCAAGAAGTGACTTGACATATAACAGCGACTCGTTTCACAAAAGCATTTTTTTTTCGTAACATCAAACTTGCTTTTACGTTTATAAAGAAAAAGTGATTTTGCATATGTTATACTTGTCTACTCAAGTTCAATCTATAGCATAGTTACCGACCTGGCTCTTACATTTTATACATAAAATGTTGACGCATCGCCTTAGCATTCGAGAGGACTTTGATAATTTCATTCGAATTTAAAAACAACTGCTTCAATTCAATGTCAATTTAGTGTCATACGTCGTACATTGACTGACAGGCGAGCTTGTTTACATCCAAAACAATTGAATAATAAATTTTGTATTCGTACTGCTGCGAAAATTGATTTTCAAATGTAAATGTTCTGGATGGTTATTATGAGTATCGCTCGTTCCCTTCATTTTCGTTATGCATTTTCTTTTACCTTTTAGTTGTAGGTCTAATCGAATGTTGCTTTTGCTATCGTGGTTGTATTTTTTCGATTTTGTCATAAAGACTTGATATGATCCAAAACGTTGTGTTAGTTCAAGCCTTTCTTGTACGAAAATTTTTTATATTGTCTCATTATTTTAACTTGATATTTCGTGCAATAATTTTGTTATTATCTTATCTTTATGGAAATAAATTAAATGAACAGCTGAAAATAGAATGGCAGATGAATGCAGAGTTGAAGAACTAAATGTATTCGTAAAGTCAAAAGCATCCATCAATCGACCTGGTTTGAACTGTAGACCAGGCCAGACAAAAGGTGATCTAGTGAAAGCTCTGGTTTAAACATATAATTTTATTAGGTTTTTTACAGAAATTTTGTCAAAGTTTTTGATCCTTGCGCTGCTGTAAACATATTTTTTAAGGATTCATTGATATATGTCAAGTTCTGAAATTTTATCTCTAATACACAGGGATAAATAGTAGTATGTTCATTTTAGAGATTTTATGCTCGAATTTTCAATATTTTAAATAAAACCTTTGACATTGAGAACTATCTGTTTTCAAACTATTCAATGTTAACACTCTGTGTCTTTCTACTCGCACTTTCATCATTTCTCAAACCGAATAATACATACAAGCAGCATCTCAAGTCTTAGATAAACACTGATGACCTGTTCTAGCTAGTGTATTTGGTTCTTTCATTCAAACAACGATCTCTTTCGTTGTACGAACTAGTGTATTGTCTTGCTACAAAATTCTTTTCTGTTGTTTCTAATCAGTATAAAAGCATAGAAAATCATGTTTAAGAATATCATGACTATTTACTCTGACCTAAACTAGAAAAGATACACAATGTAAATCATTTCATTTGATTTTTCTGCTACTCAAGTAGACAAGAATTTCTGAGCATGCCTTTGAACACTCCAATCGCGGCATTTGTCTGATCGTTTTTAGTTCCAATCAGAAAATACCAAAGCTAACTATTTTCATCATAAATAATGCGTGAAAGTGCTTTTAAAGGCAACTTTAGTAACTGAAAGATGTCCAAAACAAGTTGTCTCACTGTATTTTTGAGATACTACGAGTATGAAAAAGTCATTTTTATCCACAAAACATGTCAAAAATAATGTAGAAAAGTTTTTCGACATATTTCAGTTGTAGGAGTTGGCTTTTTAAGCATCTTCACGCACCTTTTATGATGAACATAGCTATTTTTGATGTTTTCTGAATGGACATGAAAAAAAAGCCATAATTAGGGCGATCAAATACATTTTCAGAAATTTTTCTCTGTTTGAACTATCTCGACATAGTACAACAGATCCTTGATAAAATATATGTGGATAATTTTAAGGAAGATATTATGAGAGATTCTAATAGCAAGTTTAGTCAAAAACATGAGACATGGAAATATTCGTCAAAGAATGACGCATCTTTAGTAAAAATTGTTTCATTCGATTGAGAATATGCTTGCAATGAGTGTACAAGTGACTTAACTATTGATATGCTGCTTGTGCTTTTGATATAAAACAGAACACAAGAATCTTTTTTTTAATGTTTCTGTCGCATTCAATTATCGTTGTAATTCTGATAATTGAGTGTTTAAACAATCACTTATTAATACGTCGTTTCTCCAAAATTAAATATCTTTTGAAATACTTATATTAGCCTTGTCTTGTGGCTTTTTTATATTTTCAATATCGATCATATAGGATATTTTACTCAGGTCATGCTCATTATTAATAATTGATATTTTTCTTTTTTTTTCTTGATTTGATTTAGTTAAGTATAAAACATAAGAGTTCATATCGAATGTCACCCTTATACATATGTAGAAATTTGAGATCTTTTTGTTCACTAGGATGACAAAGAAGCATATCACTTTTTTTCTTATAACAAAAATCATTTCTTTTTACTTGTCGACGGTGTAAAATATGCAACCGACATATTTGTATACATCTGATTTTGATAGAGAAGTTCGATGGCGTTCAAACTTTTCTACGGGAATACCAGTTCTATTAGGAGTTTTACAAATGTTATTAACATTTGCTATTATTGGTCTTGAAATAGTATCAGTTGTAATATCACCTATTGTTGGGACACTTTATGCTGGATTTTGGTGTTCAGTCATTTTTATGTTGTCATGGGTATCCATGCTTGGACTAGGTGATTACAAAAGTTTAATAAACATGATTAATTAATTAATTGTTTTTGTTGATTAGTTTGTTGCCATCGTGCTCATAAATGGGCATCATATATGTGTTTTATATCAATTCTTTGCTCTGCTGCTGCTATAGCTCTGATTGTGTTGGATATATTATTTATTAGAAATATAGATAAATGTTTTTTTTTAAATGTTACATGTAATGAATTGATATTGTCTTATTCTCCATTATTATTTAGTCAACCACTTGGAAGAAAAGTTCAAATTTTAAAAGCACAATTAACATGTGCTGTATTGATGTTAGTAACAGCTATTTTATATATGTATCTTTTTATTTCTACAAGTATGACTGTTCGACGTCGTAGTAGTCGTGTACTTATTGAACATCATCAATTACCAGTACAATTTGTTCGACAAACTGGTAGATATTCACCAGCGTTACAACCATGGAAATCAACATCGGTACCTGTTACTGATGAGCCGAATCGAATTGAATGCCCTCATTGTGGAACATTGATTAAATTAACACAAAAGAAACGATATGTTGAAATTCAGAATTAATTGAAATTCAAGCATCAAAATAAAATTTAAAAAAAAACATACTTTCATTTCTTGTTTTTATATAGTTCTACTTTTCTTTAGGTTTGCTCATTAAAATTCTATTAGATCAATGAGAAATTCTTTGAATCTTTCAAAAAATTGTCAATAAAGAATACAACTAGACATGCCACGACTTATTCATTTACTTTCATTATTCGATATTATTTACACTATAATCTCAATATACTTCATCTGCATTCGTTGGTTTGGATGACTATTCATTATAGTCTACTTGTTCTTGTAAATTGTGTGATAAAATCATTATGATGGCCTCATATTTTCATCTGCAAAAAAAAGAAATTTTTAAGGCTAATATCGAAGCAGAAGAAGAATGACAAATTGAAAGAAGTATAACTTCTTGCTGAAGCATCTTAAAATATTAATCATTTTCGATCTGAACTGAAAGTATGTGACTTTGCAAGTCTATGTACACAGAAAGATTTTCTCTTATTAGACTATTCAATGCATGTGAAGAATTGCCTCCAGCTAGCCCATATTCATTGATAAAAAATTTCCGTTCACATTTTATTCGAAAAATGACTTCACAAAGCCATAGTTTGGATCAGACATAAGTTCAAAGAGATGATCTTTCAAATAAAAATGCATAAAGTATCTCTGAATTCTTCATTGAGTCCATAAAATCATTAATGATTATCATCCATGAGAGTGAACCATTTCCATACTTGTGATAGATATTTTGCAGAAAATGCACTGAGACTTGTGCATATAAACATAGTATGCAGTATCAAAACCGTCCTATCAACAATTGGAATTGCACACTTTATGTAATTAGCAGAATAGCACGCAAGTCTCATTTCAACTCGGTTCATATACAAATTAGAGCATCTACTACAGAGAAACGTCTACATTACAGCTCACATATCACGAAAGCGGAGTGTGAATGTGGTTATGGGTTAATAGAAGACGCATACACTCATTCACATCCATCCCCTTCTTTACTGCCTTTTAACGTAGATTAACAGTCAAACAGGAAGAGAAAAATATAGCTTCTGTATTATATCTTTTGATTTAAGATATTTAACAATGTTAAGTTTTCGATCAT